ATAAATCCATCTACATTCTCTTTGACAAAGTATTTTGTCAAAGTCCCCCCGTCTCTGTTCACATTTAACAAGTTCCAGGCCACAGAAACGTATATCTTTAGAAGATCCGCCATGCTGTTCCTTTAGATGTCTTGAAATGGGAGTATCAAGTCGATTCTTGGGGGATCTAACATGTTCTTTGATACGTTCTTTAAATGGCAGGAAAGTTTTGCCAATGTACATCAATTTACAGCTACAAGTGAGAAGGTAAACCACCCCTGTGGAATTACAATTAAAGAAATGAGTGATTTGAAAAGAATGCAAACCTTCACTATCACTTACTTCTTTAGAATCTCTAAGAATGTATTTACAGGCTACACACCTACCACAGCCATAGTATCCCACAGGAGTTCTGCGTCCGAGCCAAGTAGTCTTACAAGGTTGTTTAATTACAAAATGGCTAGGAACGAGAATATCTCGTAGGTTCTTGCCCCTCCGGGCTGTAATAGTAACCTGTGGACCCAAAACTTCTTTCAGGTGGGTATCCTTAAGTAAAATGGGCCAGAATTTTTGAATAGAGCGTTTCACCTCATCCCAACCAGTGTCAAAGGTGCCAATCATCCTGATTGTTTTATCGGCAACCTTATTTGACATGGGAGGGTCAGACAGGAGAACTGCCCTGTCGGTTGTTAATGCTCTAAGTAAGCCCTTTTAAGACACCTGTTGGGGTAGCCCTTCTCTTTAAACTGTTGTCTTAAAGTTTTAGCTTTAATTTGAAAGTCCTCTAAATCAGTACAGTTGCGACGTAATCTGAGGTACTGTCCAGTGGGAATCCCTTGCTTCAGAGGTTTTGGATGGAAACTGTTCCATTTTAGAAGAGAATTGGATGCAGAGGGTTTCCTAAATAGAGTGGTCTCCAAAGAACCATTCGCAGAAATTGAAATCGTAAGGTCGAGAAAGTTTAGAGATGAACCCCCAAACTCTGTAGTGAACCTAAGATTATCCTCATTAATATTGAGGAGGGACACAAAATTATCAAACTCTTTATTATTACCCTGTCACACTAGAATGACATCATCAATGTATCTGTACCAAAAAAGAATTTTGGACAGAAAAGGTGACAAATCGGTAGATGTCTTAATCTGTTCCTCCCACCAGCCTAAGTGGAGATTGGCATACGAGGGTGCGCAAGCAGTACCCATTGCTGTACCTCGTATCTGGTGGTAGTATTTATTGTGGAACAGAAAATAGTTGTGGGATAGGATAAATTTCAATTATTTAAGAGCGAAAGTAGTATGTGCTTGTTGTTCAAAACCTCTTTTGTCAAGAAAATATTTTACATGCTCAATGCCCCTATGATGTGGGATAGAGGAATATAGTGCCTCAACATCGAGGCTACAAAGATGGGCCGTAGGTTCAATGTGCAGGTTGGAAAGGAGGGAAAGTGCCTGCTTAGTATCTCTAATATAGGAGGGTAAAAGTTCAACAAAAGGTCTAAGAATCTGGTCAATGTAGAGACTCCCATTTTGGGTTAAATTGTCAACACCAGACACTATTGGTCGACCGGGTGGATCCTCAAGGTTTTCGTGAACTTTCGGTAGGCAGTAGAAGGTTGCTATCCTCGGATGACGATTCAAGATGAAAAAGTATTCCTCGTCAGAGAGCAACCCTCCACTGCCACCTTCATCCAAAATATCCTTATAGCCTACAAGGAAGGTGTTAGTTGGGTCGGAAGGTAAAATCGTATATGTGTCTGTATCTTCCAATACATTTAAGACCATATATTCATACTTAACAATATCCATAACCACAACATTACCCCCTTTATCAGCCTGTTTAATAATCACTGTCTCATTATCCCTAAGTGATTTAAGGGCAGTTTGTTCCATTTTTGATATGTTACTCTCCTTTTTGGACTAGACTAAGGGCATTAGATATTACTTTTGCAGATTTTCATTTTATTATTAATTTTTCTCTCCCCCCTTTTTCTACTTTATTAGGAAGTATTAACATCTAGCCCAGATACCCTTCCCTGCATATCTCAGCTTGGCTTCTCTTTTTCCCTTTGGTTGCTGTAGTATATTTACTTTATATATATATTTTTTCAAGTATGTAACTAGACTGTGATGCCATTTATTATTTAGTTTATTGAGGTACTTTCACCTTGCCTCTTTAAAGACAAACACCATCTATGAACTTCCTCTGTACAACTAATTATAAAACTGTTTGGGCTTAGTGTACCCAGGTTTTTAACAGGTGTTGGTACTTTATCACTTACACTCTTTCTTGGTATATTCAGTATTATTTTTGTTTAATAAAGATTTTCTTATTTTACTTATGTGACGTTTGACATTAAGCAGGTATTTCATTATGGGTTGGCTTTTCCACCTACTTTTTGTGAGTGGATTTTCTACCCCATTTTTTCTCTAATTCACATCTGTTATCAGCCTATGTAAATATGTAACATTAAATCCATATTAAATCATAATTTATTCCCTTCTTCTTCGGAAGAAATGATGAGTATGATGATACTCCATCAGTATCATAATTTATTTTTCAATGTATGATATATTGCTGCATATTTAATTAGATCAAATTAAAGACACATAACTATCTAAAACTCTTGGAACTTATTATGAAAGACCTAGACTTGAAAAAGTTGGAGGAGCTGTGGGATCAGCCAGATAACAAATATATTTAAAAATGGGAAATGGATCCCATTTCAACAACTACAATTTCAATTTTCATTATTTTCTAAAGAGGTATTTATAGCCTAAGAATTAAGAACTATTTATCAAAGAAACAAATCATTGAGCAAAATGAGCTCACAGATTATTTAGGCAACCTCAACAATTCAAATAGAATATCACACTCCCTAAAACTGCTATGAATCTCTGAATGCTTTATCATGGAAACCACAATAAATAAATGGGAACAAGCAATACAAATGATAAAACAAAGTACACATTGCATAAATTTAGTTTGACTTTATTATAATGTTTTATACAGATGGTACATGGTCCCAGCAAAGTTACATAAAATTAACAAAAACTATTCAGACCAATGCTGCAGATGTAATGGCAAAAAAGGTCCACATTAGCATATATGGTGGGAGTGTGAAAAACTAAATATTTCTAAACAAAAATTAAAGAAATTTATGGAGAACATTTTTGGTTGCGATCTCGATCTGACCTCCCAGCTCCTCCTTTTTCATATTGACATGTCAAGTTGTGGAAAACTCTTTAAATATCTAATGTAAATATCTAATGAGTCATATTTATCTGGCATTTAAGATTAACATATCAAGAAACTGGAAAAATCTAGGACAACTAGAATGGCTCGGTATTATAAATCAAATCAACTATCAATTTCTAATGGAGAAAGGATTTACTTAGAGAAAATACAAATAGATCTATACCATATGACATGGGCTCCTTCGATAACCTCATCATACACAAGGCAACAATATTAGAGGCTTACCTTAAAACTTCAAATATATATATATATATATATATATATATATATATATTTGTATTTGTATTTGTATTTTTTTCCAATGTTGGGCAAGTGCTCTTCTGGTTGCCAAGACTACTGTAGAGATAATATATATATATATATATATATATATATACACACAATGTTTGGTATGTCTGGCACTCATCCTATATGTTGAAAAAAATCAGTTTACACTTTCCTCACACGCATTATGTCATCTCTATTTTTACATTCCTTTGGATCACTTTCACATCGGCAATCCATTATTCAGGTCTGCTCTCTCATACTCTCATGTCTTCCATGAGTCCTTTTCAGATTATTAATATAAGCTCTATTATTAAGGTTCCTTTACTTTATTTTTTTATGCCTGTGGCAATCAGCACTTTTCACTCCTCTCACAGTCACTGAGCATGTTTCTATGGCAACATAACACAATGACTCACGTGTCCTGCCGCCAGTTACGCATGATATCACCATCACGCACACATGACGTGCATTGCCGGGTTTCTCGGCACTGGCACTAGGGATTGTCTGCTAACACCTGTAATTGGTAAGTTACTTACTAATGTACATTTTCTGTATTTTTTTCTGTGAAAATATATATATATAAAAATTCATCCTATTAGATATTTAGTAATATCAGTCAAAGAATTTGTATGTATAAAAAAATTCATCCAATTAGATATTTAGTAATATCAGTCAAAGAATTTCTATAACAGATCGTCCGTAATTCCCCCGGAGTCAATATGAATGAAGTATGAATGAGATGTAGGAAGGATTTAGACATTTTTAAAGGATTAATCTATGTCAACACTTACTGATGATCAATGAAGGATAAATGTATGTCCTTTCTTCCCTTCTGTAATTTGAAAATTCAAATAAAGACTTCTAAAAAAGCAAAAAAGACACAACTATTAAGTTCAACCTGTTTTTCTTGGTTATTTTGTAATTCAATTATCAGGTCTCCAAAATATATAGCTTAGATAATAATAATAATAATAATAATAATACCAAAAACTCAAAATTCAAATCTTTTTAGAACCATGATATTTTTTTTAATACAATACAGTTAAGGTTCTGTAACAACTGTTAGATGATTAGATTGAGTATCATTAGAATAGTCTGATCCATATTAATAAACAAAAAAACAACTAATTAGGAGTACAGACACTCCTCACTTACTGATTGGGTTCCGTTCTTACGACTTGGTCATGAAACGAATTGGTTGTTAAGGGAGGATGCACTACAGAGCATGCGCACCAGTGCAGGTCTATGTTCGAGGAAATTTCCCTGAACATAGACAAGCACAGAAGAGCAGGGAATCCCTCAAATCCATGTTCGGGGAATGTTCCCTGAACATAGATTAGAGGGATTCCCTGCTCTGCTGCACTTGTCTATGTTGGGGCAAATTTACCCGAATGTAGACATATGCACCAGAGCAGGATATCCCTCCAATATATGTTTGGGGAAAATTCCCTGAACATAGATCAGCCTAATGCAATTTTCTGTTGCCTTCAATAGAGCAACTTTTAAATAATCCCATTTTTCTTGGACTCCATTTAAATTGCTCCAGTCTGATAATGACGCCTCTACCCAATTAGAATATGGGTAGAGGCGTCATTATCAGACTGGAGCAATTTAAATGGAGTCCAAGAAAAATGGGATTATTTAAAAGTTGCTCTATTGAAGGCAACAGAAAATTGCATTAGGCTTGTCAGTAAAAGCAAAAAATTCAAGAAACCACTGTGGTACTCCGCAGATGTGGCCAAAATAGTTAAAAACAAAAAGTTAGCATTTAGGAATTATAAAAAAAACCCAGAGTGAGGAAGACAAAATGATCTATAAGATTAGGCAGAAAGAGGCTAAGCAAGTTATAAGAGCTTCCAAATCACACACAGAAGAGAAAAATAGCACAGTCAGTAAAAAAGGGGGACAAAACATTTTTTAGATACATAAATGAGAAAAGAAAAGTAAAACAAGGATTAGTTAGATTAAAAACAAAAGAAGGAAGGTATGTAGAAGAGGATAAAGGTCAGACTGACTTCCTCAATGAATATTTTTGTTCTGTATTTACAGAAGAAAATGAAGGAAAGGGACCTCAGTTGAGAAAAAGGATAAATGAGTCATTTATTACACGTGAGTTTACAGAGGAAGAGGTTCTATTTCAACTGTCAAAAGTAAAGACAAATAAGTCAATGGGACCTGATGGAATACACCCAAAGCTTTTAAAAGAGCTTAGTGGTGTACTAGCAAAACCATTAACAGATTTATTTAACCAATCATTGTTAACAGGAGTAGTCCCAGAAGATTGGAAGTTAGCTAATGTTGTGCCCATTTACAAGAAAGGTAATAGGGAGGAGTCGGGCAACTATAGGCCAGTAAGCCTTACTTCAGTAGTGGGGAAAGTGATGGAAACCATGTTAAAGGATAGGATTGTTGAACATCTAAAATCACATGGATTTCAAGATCAGAGACAACATGGGTTTACTTCAGGGAGATCATAACAAACTAATCTTATTGATTTTTTCGATTGGGTAACTAAAATTATAGATCAGGGTGGTGCAGTAGACATTGCTTACCTAGATTTCAGTAAGGCTTTTGACACTGTTGCACATAGAAGGCTTATCAACAAACTGCAATCTTTAAGTTTGGATTCCAATATTGTTGAATGGGTAAGGCAGTGGCTGAGTGACAGGCAACAGAGGGTTGTAGTTAATGGAATATATTCGAAGCTTGGACTTGTCACTAGTGGGGTACCTCAGGGATCTGTACTTGACCCATTCTCTTTAATATTTTTATTAGTGATATTGCAGAAGGTCTTGATGGTAAGGTATGTCTTTTGCTGATGATACTAAGATATGTAACAGGGTTGATGTTCCAGGAGGGATAAGCCAAATGACAAATGATTTAGGTAAACTAGAAAAATGGTCAGAATTGTGGCAACTGACATTTAATGTGGATAAGTGCAAGATAATGCATCTTGGACGTAAAACCCAAGGGCAGAGTACAGAATATTTGATAGAGTTCTAACCTCAACATATGATGAAAGGGATTTAGGGGTGATTATTTCTGATGACGTAAAGGTAGGCAGACAATGTAATAGAGCAGCAGGAAATGCTAGCAGAATGCTTGGTTGTATAGGGAGAGGTATTAGCAGTAGAAAGAGGGAAGTGCTCATGCCATTGTACAGAACACTGGTGAGACCTCACTTGGAGTATTGTACACAGTACTGAGACCGTATCTTCAGAAGGATATTGATACCTTAGAGAGGGTTCAGAGAAGGGCTACTAAACTGGTTCATGGATTGCGGGATAAAACTTACCAGGAAAGGTTAAAGGATCTTAACATGTATAGCTTGAGGAAAGACGAGACAGGGGGGATATGATAGAAACATTTAAATATATAAAGGGAATCAACACAGTAAAGGAGGAGACTATATTTAAAAGAAGAAAAACTACTACAACAAGAGGACATAGTCTTAAATTAGAGGGACAAAGGCTTAAAAATAATATCAGGAAGTATTACTTTACTGAGAGGGTAGTGGATGCATGGAATAGACTTCCAGCTGAAGTGGTAGAGGTTAACACAGTAAAGGAGTTTAAGCATGCATGGGATAGGCATACGGCTATCCTAACTATAAGATAAGGCTAGGGACTAATGAAAGTTTTTAGAAAATTGGGCAGACTAGATGGGCCGAATGGTTCTTATCTGCCGTCACATTCTATGTTTCTATGTTTCTATGTTTCCAAAAAGTGGTGAATGCCTTGAATCCCCACGCTAGAGAACTGGTCGTAAGTGCGTGCCGTCGCAAAACAGGTAAAAAAGGTTGTAAAGTGAGGACCACCTGTATACATTAAATTGTTTTAACATGTGGTATTTTGCTATGAGAAATAACTTTAGAAAAGAGAGAGAAGAAAGATATAAAGGGGGAGGTACGGAGAAAGAGGTAAGTAAGAAGGGATCCACCAAAGGGTCTGTAACAACCTCTCTATGAGAGAAGAGGATGTTGTGACGAGGCTGACCATGTATTGTAATAATGATGTGGGAAGTCATGTAGTTGAGTTGTGAGTTGTTTAATTTCCCTAACCAGTGACTATATATTATAAAGTTCTATGTCAGATGGTAGAATTATTTGTATTTTTTTCCAATTTCAGGCAAGTGCTCTTCTGGTTGTTAAGACTACTGTAGAGATAATATTATTTTCAGCTCTCCACCGACCTTCAATAGATCTGGAGAGGAGAAAAGTCCATGGATCAGGGTGAATCATTTTATTCAAAACTTTGGAAAGCCACATGGCTTCCTTTTTCCAGTCTTACCTTAACCCCTCCAGCATCCATTGCATATGATATTTTCAATTGATGTAGATGTACAAGTGTAAGGTATCATCGTAGAAGAGTCATATATCCCTTTTTTGGAAATTTGTGATGGGAATTGCTAAAACAACACTCACCTAAAAGAAAATAAACAATTTGTATCACCATTTTTCACTGAATATTTACAGCTGGAGTTACTCTTTTAATATGGGAAGCTTCGGAGTAGTCTAGGTATCTACATAATATGGGAAATTAGGACATTTTCCTATTTAATTCTTCAGCAAATGGTGTTTCCATTCTCTGCTTTCATTTTTCAATGAACACAATGCACTGAGCTGATGAGCCCCTTTACACTCAATAACCACAGGAACAGATATATGATAAAACTCAGTTATACTTTACCTGGCACAAGACCGACCAGAACCACTAGGAATTCCCCTTCAAATGGTCTGCAAGTGAGATCAGGTACTTAGAAACAATTACCTGTTCTGAATCTACCAATTAAATTTGATTCCACCTCCCAACTTCTTCTGTAAGAATCTGGAAAAATGGATGGTGTCACATATCTCCTGGTTGATCAAAGTAACAGTAACTATAATGAACTCACTACCACGACTCTTGCATCTCTTCCAGGCACTAGCTATAGTTGTGCCCGCTGACTTTTTTACTTCCCTGCACACCACATTCATCAAATATATCTGGAAAGGTCGCAAGTAAACAACAGAAATATTCACTGCTCACTCTTCCTAACACTAAATTAAGATTGGTGGTGCCTGATCTCTGTCTTTAGTACCTGGCCACCCAAGTATGACACAGTAGAGTGGGCCAAGGTCATGCTACACAAATCATGGAAAAACATAGAACGCATCCTTTCATCTGCTCTTCAATGGATATGGCATTCCCACTGTAGCAATGCCACACAACCCAGACTTGCCAGACTAGAGGGTTGATCATTACCTCCCCCTGCTATCACTGTTATACTACAAATCCACAATGTGGTTGTTGGGGAATAGATTGCACCTTAACAGACTCTGAAACAAGACTCCCCACCTGCTTTCATGACCCTGTTGAACAAATACAGAGCTTCATCTCCAAGATCCCCCAAAAGCCAGACCTCCATATAACCATCACCCTCATCGAACATCTATGCATAGAGCTAGACCCACTGCCTCGTTGTATCTTAATTTAATATGCTACTTTATAAACCCAGCAAAACACCCCACCACATTGACACATTGCCACATGGGAGTTGATTATAGGCAAATCCTTTATACCAATCCAATGGCAAAATATATAAGATTGGTTCATCACTGTTTCCTCTCATGAAGGACCCAAGAAATAGCCTACAAAATACTAGCCATGTGGTATAACACACCACAAATGATGAAAATAATTGAGCCCTCTCACAATGATGTTTTCTGGAGCTGCCATGCTGCTCCGGGTTCTTTCCTACACTTTAGGTGGGACCGTCCTCAAATACAACTGTATTGAAAAAACATTGACTCCATTATTCAGAATTTCTTTGAAGAATACTTCAGCATACTACAACCCACACTTCCAGGTACAAGAGATCTCTTTTCATTGAAATTGTAATGTTGCTAAATAACTAGTCACCTTATTTTGGAGACAGGACTTTTACCTTGGGAGGCCATAGGTTATTTTAAAGACATGGGTATTAAGGGAATTCTTAATGTATAGAAAAGTAGGGGAGACTCTGATGTAAGCACAAGGTAGCAGTAATCGGTATGGACAGTGAACAGAAGAAGGTCACAGGCAGAGCGGAGCTGAAGAGGGGTTTATCTATGGATTAGTGAAGAAATATAAATATAAAATGTAAAGTTGTTCAGAGCTTTGTAGGCAAGAGTTAATATTTTGCATTTATTCATTTATTGTGAACTATAAAGAGGCAGTATGATTTCTGGAGGGACCAATTAGGAAAGAAATTAAAAGAAACAAGGGAAACCCGAAGGAACTCCCTCCGCTAGTATTGTAAACTCTACCATAAGTAAACTCTATTGTGAATGTTTGAGGTTTTCTATTGTCAATTGAAATCTAGAGAATTTTGGATTTTACTTTAGGGGTGAATCTTCTATATAGTTATTTGTTTTATTAGATTTAATTTTAACACAGAGATTAACAGGTTAGCACCTTCTCACTTATGAGTATGTGTCTTTTAAGTACAATGTTTCCAATGGTTTATATACACTTATAAAGCTGCAGTGGCTGTTATTCACAGATTGATCTCATGAGAAATTATAAGGGATCTTTGGATTTCTTGCCTGGCCAATGTTTATTGATTCCTGCACACCTCACCTTAATTAGTCCTTTCTATACTTATAGGGGAGTTTACAATGTGTCTAT